AAAAAAAAAAAAAAAAAAAAAAAAAAAAAAAAAAAAAAAAAAAAAAAAAGGAGAAAAAAAAAAAAAAAAAAACCCCCAAAAAGAAAAAAAAGAAAAAAAAAAAAAAGAAAAAAAAAAAAAAATGAGAGAAAAAAAATGAAAAAAAAAATGAAGAAAAAAAAATAGAGAAAGTAAAATAAAAGAACTAGAGAAAATAAAATGAAAGAAAGTGAAAGGAAAAAAAAAGAAAAGAGAAAATATGGAGAAAACGAAAAAAAAAAAAAGAAGCAAAGAAATAATAAGCGAAACAGCAAATAAGAAAGTAGCAAAGCGAAAGAGCAAAAGCAAAAGCAGCAAAACACGATCGCTGTACGTACGTACGTACGTATGTACTCATTCAACTTATTACGTACAGTCACCGTTCTAATTATGGATTTTTGATGGCAGATCGCAAATGATTTTTGATTATCACGAAATTTTTCCTTTGATTTTGTTTGCCAATGTCAACACATATTTCGCACACTGTCGATTCTACGTATTCTGCTTCGGAGTGCAGTGAATCTGAATATGATCCTAATGGTAAACCTTTTTTGGCACTTCTTTTTTTTTGATTACATGATCCATTAATCACTCGTGCACAATAGATGAACGCTGGGACGACTGGGAGGAAGAAACACAAGACTCAAAATGTTTGTTTTGCAAAGACTTGTTTAACGCAACGGACGAATTGTTTCAGCATTGCAAAGAAAAGCACGGATTTGACTTTCAGAAACTTCGTTCTGAACAAAGTATATATATATGCTGTAATTTGAACTATCAATACTAAGTTCACAACTTTTCTAATTGTATTATTTAATTCGCCTTGAATCAAATTACAGAACTCGATTTTTATCAATCCATTCGTTTGATAAATTACGTTCGTAATCAGGTAAACTTATCTTATTTTTCTGATTTCTTAAATTATTTTTCGAATAAACGAATTGAGGCTCTGAGTGTTAAACTTATAAATGTAGGTCTTGAATAATTCGGAATTGGAAAATACCACATCTTATGCAATACCAGATGTTCAATTGGTCATTAATGATGACGCATATCTCAAGCCTGTATATGAGGATGATCCTTTATTATATGGTGCGAATTATAATTATAAATTATATATAATTTGTATCCTAATTAACTGTCTAATTAACTGTACCTCATTTAATCCATTTTTTCTATTAATTATTGATAATTGATAATTGATAATTGATGCAGCATTTGACAGCACAGATATTGATGATGATGAAGAATTTGATGTAAATATGCATTCAGAAAAATTAATTGATCATGATGATCAAGAAGGTTGTTAAAAAAAAATTGTTAAAGTTTAATTAGCCGAAAAAAAAAACAACCTTCCAATATTCACTTAATTAATCGAGATATTATTATTAGCTTTGTCTGCAAGTTTAAATGTAACTACTCCATTGGAGCACGAACTTCTTAAACGACTCAGAATCGTTGAAGAGAAACTTTTTAATACTGAAGTACAACTCAGAAAGTCTGAAAATCAATTTATTGAATATCGAAACATGGTAAAAGAATCGTTCTTTGACAGTTATTTTGATGCTGAAAGGTCAGTACTTGTTCGAGGATGTACCCTCTTTTTTTGGATACTTATGGTACGTGGTTAGAATAATTTTCACTCAATTATTCACAGCGAAAAATCAGTGAAATCATTGCAACTAACCAGTAATTTTGAAAATTACGATTACTATTTTAATTCATATGCAAAAAATGGTTTGTATAGTTAATTCTATTCCTTTCTGTTTTCCTTTTTAACATTGCTCTAATTGTTATAATTGAATTTCTTAGATATTCATGAAGAAATGTTAAAAGATCGAATTCGAACAGAGAGTTATCGTGATTTTATCTATGAAAATAAAGACCTTTTCAAGGATAAGGTTGTGTTGGATGTTGGGTGTGGTAAGCACCATATTAATTTTATTATCCTTAATATGATGTCTTATATTAATGAATTATTCTCTAGGCACTTGTATTCTGTCAATGTTTGCTGCTAAAGCCGGTGCATCTAAAGGTTATTAATTTTTTTCGAATTAAAACATGTTTTGATTCGAGTCGCATTACTAACATCTAATATATATGTATGCTATTTTTTAGTGTTTTCTGTAGACAAATCTGCCATTATCCATAGAGCAAAGGATATTGTAGAAGAAAATAAATTAAATGATGTGATCACGTGTGTACATTATATACAGCTCGGTTTCAAATTATTTAAAAAAATTTTTTTTATTAACATTTACCCATTAATGATACCAATAATATCAATGATATCAATAATATCAATAATAGCTTATTCAGCGGTAGGATAGAAGATGTTGTTCTTCCTGTACAAAAAGTTGACATTATAATATCAGAATGGATGGGTTATTTCCTTTTTTTTGAGGGTATGCTCGACTCTTTGATTGTTGCGCGTGATCGGCTACTTGCACCGGACGGAATTAGTAAGTTTTTTTTCATATCAGTTATATGGCCACGTCTTAAATGTAATGAATAATATTTAATATCATGTCTGGTGAAAATTCTTATACTTAGTTGCACCTAGTCATTGTCGTCTTTTATTTGCTGCTATTGAGGATGAAGAGCTTTTTAATGATACTTTTAATTTTTGGAATGACGTTTACGGTATGATGTTTCGACAATGAAACTGTGTTTTTACTTGTCCATCAATATCCATCAATTAATATTTTTATCATTTTGTTCAGGGTTTAAAATGACGGCAATGAAACGTCCAATTTATACGAGCGCTATTATAGATTATGTAACACAAGATGCACTTATTTCCGATACAGTTTCAATTAAAGTATGTCATGATATTAAATAACTGTTTTACCATGATGTTTTTTTATATTTCTCAACTTTTAATATTTTCAAGGAAGTTCCTCTCCATACAATTCGCAAATCTCAATTGAATTTCACTTCGCCGTTTACATTAAACATATTACGTGATGGCACTGTTCATGGATTCTTGGGTTATTTTGATACCTGGTTTACACGTGACGGCCATTATATTCCATTGTCGCAGAATGTGAATGATAAGATTGATGGCATTACTAGCTTTACAACTGGGCCACAAGGTGGGATTACCCACTGGAGGCAGACGATATTTTTTCTTGAACATGGAATTCATGTTACGAAGGGTACATATTGTAAAAATACTTGGCTACTGAGTTATGAGTTATGGATATGGTATTGACACTTTTTTTTTTTTTCTTATTGTAGGTACAACGATCGTTGGCACAATTGATTGTCGTAAGAATATAGAAAATTATCGCGATCTTGATTTTGAAATATGCTATAGCATAGTAAAAGCTGGAGAGGACTCTAAATGTGCAATTAAACACAAGCAGAATTTCTATTTACGATAACTTATGATAACAAGTAGAAAGCTACAAATCTCACGAAAACGGTTTTTGTACTATATTCGTAATACATATTTATGTTGAGCATTCTTTACATACTGTATTTCACGTATTTTATTTTCTATAACTGATAAATTTTTCTGATCTTGTAATAAATTAAAAAAATAAAAAATAAAATAAAACAATCTGATTGCTAGATGATTTCTGATGTAAGTCTGAAGCGAAAAAGTGCATTTACGTTAAATTCTCGCAACCTAGAGAATTATCTAATATTAAACTGAGTTACACTGATTGCTGATCATCACGGGAACCTACAATTGCAATTGGAAAATGTGTACCAGATTAGTGGCGCAGACAAAATTCTTAAAATTTGTTATAGTTGTAAAAGTAAAATTGTCCAACGAAAACTTTTTGTTAGAGTACAAAAGGTGGTTATGAGCGATTTTTGGCAGAACGAACGTTAGTTTTGAATCTTCTTGATTGCGTTACGTTACACCTAATCTTGAAAGTCGATTCGTAGATCAGAAGAACTACGTCACCAACTTTCCGATTGCCCTACAATTAGGGATGTGAAAAGTTCAACTCGACTCCAGAAGTCGAGTCATAATTTGTACTCGGTCCCAAGCAGACTTGGGACAAAAACTCATCCTGTCGTGTGGAATCTGTGACACCACATTTATTTTAAGTACGTACGTACGTATCTTGTAATATCTTCAAGGTCCCTATTTCTTACAATGCGTGTTTAACGTAGTGATGGTACCCGATCAAAAAAATGCTACCCGGTTATCCGACGGGTAAACCCGTGGGTTACCCGGATAATCGACGATGTACCCGGGTAGATACTTCTACTTTCAGGCTTATATAGATCACTTTTCTATTCAGATCAAAGTTTTTGCTATTACATGCGACTATATATTGACCACTACATAAACCTCTTGAGAAATTTTGGCAAAACGAATAAAACTATATATATATTACCTTTACAATTGGCTAATATATTTTTGATTAAATATATTCCTGTCAGGGATCCGCCTTCACTTCACTAACAGCTTATTTAACTGACATTACACAACTAATCAAATACTCTATGTGATGTCAGCTAAATGAACTTTCGGTGAAGTAAGCAGAACTGAACCAAAGTATATCAAAAACAAGTATTAAATCTAGGACTTATTCTATTATGAGCTTATTCTTTAGACTCAACCCAAATATTCAATTCGGGTGCGTTTACCCAGGCATTATCCGGGTATAGCTGAGTTTACAACCCGGATATCCGATTATCCGCGGATAACCTGGGTAATATCCAACCCGGGCAGGGACGATGATTTTCTGCAAAATGCAGAATATCGCAGAATTTGCAGAATTTGCAGAATTTTCGGAATTCACAGAAATTAGATTTTATCACGGATAATTACAGAATTGACCTAAAATTTAACTAGGATCTAAACTAATTGCAGAAATAGGATTTTTATTGCAAAAATTTGCAAAAAAAATTATTTTGCGCAGAAAATCATCGTCCCTGAACCCGGGTACCATCACTAGTTTAACGTAACAGTTACGTAACAGTTACGTAACAGTAGATTGTGCCACTTACCGGTAAATCAATGCAGGGCATATGCGTGTATTACCTTCAAGATCTTTATTTTTTTACTAGGAATAGCAATATGCATGTGCGTATTTGGTATTACAAACGTAAATTGTGTACGTCGCCTTATTTACGCACGCGCGAGTAATACAAATCTCTAAAAAGGAAATGGCACAAATTGACTATTCCGAATCAGCCCGACATGAATTTCGAACACGTGTGAAAGAAGGAAAAGCGAAAATACTCAAAAATTAGTGTTTAAATCAACCTTGGTACACTAATTAAAATGTCGGGAATGAAATTTTACGTATAATGAGCAGCAAACTATTGTTATAGCCTCTAACTTTAACGCCCTATCTCTAACCTTCTATCTTTACGCACTTACCGGTAGTTTATTTACAAATTCGATTTCCTTTTTGGTTTGTGTTACTCGCGCAAATAAGTAAAATGCTTATGGACACTTGGCAGAACAACCTTTTTTTCTAAAAGTTCACGGACGCTAGAACTTTTGTCAACATGGGTAATCATAAATTCTTTAAATATTTCTTACATCGTTTCTGCAAATTGTCACGAATGATCCGTGATTGAATATTAAACTATATTGAATTGTGGTTTATATCGCAGCATATCAGTCAGCTGACATGTCGCAGAGTTTATTTCGTTGACGTACCTAAATTTTATAAATAAATTACAAAGAGAACTTTTTATACTTTATTTGATTCGAAGAGATATAAAATATTTTGAGGTTTGAATAAATATATCTTTAATAATATAATATTTAGTACGAGCATTTCAGTCAACTTTTCATCAGTGCATTCGTCGGGGAAAGTGCAAATCTAATTATAACGCGTGATAATAAGTATTCTATATGTAATGTATTATCCCGGAAATTTAAAGTTAAAAATAATCTTGCACTAAAGCTAAACGATCTTTACTACGTTCCTTAAGTCAAAAACCGACACAATATCAAGCATTATACAATAATCTAACTGAATTAATAATAAAGAAAAAATTTTAAATTTACATATAACGTCAATTCATTTGATCAATCCGTACACGACATGTCTGCTGACTGATATACCAATGATAGTAGGATGGTGTTAAGAGATGTTTTTTCTTTTTTTTTCCCAATAGAAAACATTATTATTAACGTAAATTCAATATAGGTGGTTTAAGCGTTGTCATTCGTCTAACCAATGACGGAACTTTATATTATGTAAATTTGCCATCAAACAATCGATCCGACTTTGTCAAAAAAATGGGTAATGATATTGCCACATCTATTAATTGTGATGCCTCGCGTATAACAATTCCGACATATTATCAATACAGTAATGAAAATAATAATGGGGATCAAATTTTTATGCGCGTTAATATTGCTCAAGGTGATGATAGAGATGCATCTAGCCTTGCTAGTGAATTAAATAAAACGATCATGTATAAGAACATTTCAACAATTTCCAATGGCACCACCTTTAATTACATTGATCAATCTAATGGCGCTTGGTTAATACGTACGTTCTCATAAATACACCGTATGCTTCCTTGTATATTTACCAATTATTGCATCGTCAATTAATTTTATATATAGCCAACTTATGGGATAAATACAATTTTATCCTTTTTGGTGTCTTTGTTGGATTGGTCTTTTCTGGTACCTTGTGCATCGTCGTAATCGCTACAGGGTGAGTAGTCATAAACATGAATGTGTTTTTTGACATCATGTACTAACATATTTGTATTGTTCATTTTAAAGGATGAATTTGGAAAAATGTTTAGACGACAATATGCGATAGTCAAATTCTTGACCATTTCTGTGTCTACATTAATAGTGGCAGATCTTGTATTTGACATTTTATTTATTGTTTTTCATAGAAAGGATGAAAAATGGATTATGAATGTCAGGTTTGTTATATTCCTTTTAACAATAAAATATTTTTTGGAGATTATTCATTGTAATTAGTAAATTAAATATTAATGTTTTTTCTCCAGCATTATTTTCCTAGTAGTTCCCATCGGCTTCTGCACTCTGTTTACATTCTCAATCATTAGTCACGAACTTAGAGATAACGATCTCTATAAAAGATGGTGGAAGAATAATAGCTACGCTGTTCTAGCTATAATGCTTTTATCTTGCCTTGATAATGAAGCTTTGAACGTGGCAAGCTCATATTTTGCTGGTTATAGATCATTAAATGCTCTCTACACACGAAGAGCATATCAGAAGATTATCTATGCTATTGCTTTTAATATGTTTATCGAAGACGTACCTCAATTCATATATTTGGTGAATAAATTTAAAGATATTAAATATAATCAGTGATGTCTTTGTTAGTGATAAAATTAATTTATTTTTATTATATATACTATGTATCAAAAAGTTACTATTATTCCGGCCGTTTTGCCTATTCTTGCACTTTCTTCATGTAGGATCCTCATTTTTATTAAAGTCATATCAATAATATACTTTGCATTCAGCGCTGAACGAAGTTATTATGATGATGATGATGAAATGGGCGATGATGATGAAATTGAAAAAATCGTACTTTCCCATGCGCTTAGTAAGGTCATTTTTCTACAATGCTTTAAAATTTTTTTTTAATTTTAAAATCTGACCTTTTTATTTATATACAAGACGGTATTGAAAAACATAGTGCACCATTCGCTGAAACTAGTGCACTTCCTGTGACATCGATCAAAAATGAACCTTCTGTAAGAAACGGCAAAATTATAATTTAAAATTTACTGGAGAATATAGATGTGATAAGAAAGGACAGTTAATGACATGGAAAATTGATAAAAACTGCCATAGGCTATCGGTATATAAAAATAATTATAAAGAGCCAATCAGTTGTAATGATTTTGTTGAAATCGGTAATTATCTAGGATCATATTTAATGCCTAATGATGACTTAATTGTGATTGCAACAGAGTTTATTGCAATTTTTACTCTTATTGAAAATGAAATACAAACTATTTATTATGCTAGGATAACTTTGTTTGAGAATATAATTCAAAGACATATAAAATTTGATAAGAAGAACAAAGTGATAGTAATACTTGAAGGTACTTTTACACCAGAAAATTTATGGGATGTCAGATATTTTAAATATCTATTAGATTTCATTGATGAAAAGTCGGAGTTAAATATTGCGCAGCATTTAAGAAAGATGATAATAATGTATATTGATGATATTTATACATTTTCTCACTATTCACCATCCATTATGAAATCAATTGTGAAGTCTACTGACAAGCAAAAAAAATATAGAAAGCATGAAAATGAGATAATCGCTCTAATTATTGATAAATGTATAAGTTATTATAACCAAGATAATAGCCAATTCAACGTATTATATAGTATCACAAGCTCAATTTCAAAACTTCAAAAAATTATATCCTTATCTTGTTACGAGATTTTTTATTTGTACTTCTATATTTAGTTATGCAGATGAAAAAATTAATTACACGCACAATTCACATCTTGATAGTTCTAGAAGTGAATTATTGTCTGAATCATATATGGATGTGATGTTAACATTGGTGTATTGGTTGGATTAAGCTTTGGACTTTTTACTGCAAATTTATTCAGAATTTAAGCAGATTCATTCGAATGGTTTGTTACAGTTGTAATTTTCCTAGGCCCTGTACCGATCGTTATATTATTGGGGCAAATAATAAGTGTATTAGTAAATACACAAAAAAAAACATTACGTAGTGAGATTTATCCAACAGTTAAACTACTTATTCCTTTACCCAAATTTGCATCCTATCCCACTGAATATAATTTATTCTCTGAATTATTAAAACCTAGTTCAAATGAATTCATAAAAACAGCTTTACGAACTCAAATTCCCATTATTTACTCTGATTGGAATGGAGAAGCTCTTTTAAACTTCAAATGGAATAAATTTGGAAAATATTATTATTATGTAATTTGGATGGTGTATACCATCTTTCTTTTAACCTTTACGCTGGCAACAAGTGAACCAAATAATTATATTTCTTTAAAAAGTCAAAAAACTCTATTGTTATATTCTGTTATTATTGGGCTTTTTCAGTTAACATTTGAAATTTGACAATTTATCTGGGATTGGAAAAGTTACATCCTTAATATTTGGAATTGGTTTGGTAAAGATTATAATTTAATCCATATATTTTACAGAATCTAGAAAAAATTTTACTGAAAGTTTTACAAACTTTAAGCATATAGTAGATACTTAATTAATTTTAATAACATTTAACAATTTTAATTTTGCAAGCTTGTAAAATTAAAAAATTCAAAGTTATCAAAATCAATTGAATTGTTGCCAAGTATCCGTGATTTATTAAGAAGTTAAAAAATTTTTCTAAATTTTGTTAATATATCAAAATAACTTCTTTTTATGCTGTTATTAATTAAATAATTTATATTTCTTTTGATAGATCTTGAAGCGTACCTATTTCCAATTATATCATCTTTCTCTTTGTTAATGAATATTACAACACCAGCATGGTTGCTAGCTATTTCAAGCTTACTTTTAGATTTAAAATTTTTGTTTTTCTTTAGAGCATTTGAATTTTTGAATTTTGGGATTTATTTTGCAATCATATTAGGTGTTGCAAAAAGTGTATTTTCTTTTTTTAGTAATTCTAGTCTTCATTGTATTTGCATACGCTCATGCATTTTATATACTTTTGCATCCAATTAAAACATTTGATTCTTTAAATCCGGTTTTTGACGATGATAAAAACAACCCCTGGAATCTTGCAACTACCTATAATCCTATTAATAATAGAAATGTAATGATGAATGCATCACTTATCTTATTGCCAAATTTAAATACCAATTTATATGAATATTTTGGAACTGCACTATTAGCTGTATATAAATTAATGACAGATATTAATGTATTATTAAACTTGTAAATTGTTTTTTAATACAACTTGTAACCATTATACAATTTCTTTTATTAAACTATTAGGGATACTAGTTCATTAGCCGCTTGGGAATATTATAATAATATAACTCTTGTTCTTTTATGGATAACATTTTTATTCTTTATGGTTATTTATCTTTTAAATCTATTTATTGGCTTATTGAATATTGCTATTCAGGATAACAATTCTAGAGTTTTATTTCTACTTCAAAAAGCTGAAGTGCGCATATTATTATATATATTTCTAATTTAGCTCGTAATATTAATCATTGTACTTACAATATTTTGATATTTTTAAAATAGGTGCTTGCTGAAATCGAATTGTTTTATCTACTTCCTCACCAAAGAAGATGGAAATCTTGATTTCTAGACTGCATGTGGGTTTGAATATTTCTTTATTTTTGATATTTGTTAATATATATTTATAACTAATTTTTTATTCTCTTATTTATTTGTAGTTTTTATTATATACATGTCAACAAGTTAAAAACCAAGATATCTAATATCAAAAATATTTATAAAGATAGCCAAGATAAGCCAATGATTCAGAAACATCTTTTAGAACTTTTTCATATTAATGATACAGAATAAATAAAATCAAACTTCCAGAAAGAAAAGTAAAATAAAATACCCAATTTTTTATTATTAGTACTAAATAATATTTTTATTATATAAAGATATTTATTTTGGAGTATAATGAATAGTTCTAGCTATTTTACAAAATATAAACAATAAGTACATATGGACTAAACAGATGCATTTCATTAGTGTGATATTTTTGAATTGCACATCAATTTTTTAAATTGACCAATAAAAATGCTTTTTATAAAAAGAATAAATACAGTCAAACCCTTCTATAGTCATACCTTTGAGATACAAAAAACTGTGATTGTAAAGAGGTGTGACTAATATAGAGATATTTTCTATATAGTTATAAATAATTGGTAAAAATAAATTTGTAATTATACCAATTTTGTGACTATAGAGGAGGTGACTATAGAGGGGTTTGACTGTATAATACAGTCTAACCTCTCTACAGTCACCTATTGGTTTCAAGAAATTCTGTATTTATAAAAAATTGTAACTGTATTGAGGTCAAATTTCTTATGTTTTATATATGTTTGTTCTAAAAATTAGTGTACTTATAAAGAGATACAACTATATGGAGAGTAACTGTTGTTATAGAGTGAATTGTAGGTTTAATTAGTTTATACACGAAAGTATAGAATTTATATGATATAAGGCATTTGCCAGAGGTATAACGATAATGATTTGACAATAATTTAATTTATTAATAGGCAAATCGCGAGTCATCTAAACAAATATTTTTTTTTAGAACTGTATTTTTTATGAACTCTTCTCACTGATCACTTGTACACAAACAAACAAAAAACAAACAGAAAACAAAACAGCCAAAACTCAGTAAAGGACATAAAAAACACCTGATAAGGCCTTAGGGAAAAAGGAAGAGCAACAAAAACAACAGGTATCTAGCTTAGAAACAAACTAG